CAACGTTTTAAAAGTTTGCTGGAGTTTCAACTAGAAATATGTAAACGCGGTCAAAACAATTTAAAAATAACACTATGTCTGTCTATGAAATGACGAAACAAACAATTAAAATTTGGCTACTTTCGTTTTATTACAATCGTTTTGGCTTCCTCTTCGTTCTTAATTGTACCATTAATGAGGATTTCCTAAAACACATGTAAGCATTACGTGGCAAAATCTTGTGTCATTAGACCTGTCGACTCCGACTTCAGTCTGTATTTCTTTCTGGATTTCTGTCCATAGTCTTTGTCACCCAAGTACAATCTGCAAGCAGTTGTTTGATTTTAGAGATTTTCACTCTTGGAGAGGTTGCTGTGCCCAATGAACAAGTCTCATTTGTCCTGGGGTCAAACTCAATAGTTTTCGAGTGAGTAATCATACCTTACCCCTCCCCCATTTACCCCCCCCCCCCCACACACACACACTCTCGCCGTTTTTTTGGTTGATTCTTAACTTTTTCTGCTAGATTTTGTTTCCCATTAAAGTGTGTAAATAGAATGTAGATCTTTTATCACTAAATCTTAAGCGTCTAGCAGTTCAAATAGATCAGAACTCACCTGTTCATACAGCTGTTGCTTGACTCCCCTGAGCACTGAATGACATAGACTTACAATACCTGACCACTGAATGACATATACCTTGCAATACCTGACCACTGAGTGACAGACTTGAAATACCTGACCAATGAATGACAGACTTGAACAATACCTGAACAATGAATGACATAGATTAGCAATACTGCCCACAAATAAAATAACATATGCTGTATTTAGTCCAACCAAATCTAATTTTAATGACTCTGCTAAATAAAATGTCGAGAGAAGACAAATGATGCCTAATTTACCTTCTTAATTCACGCCGTCATTTTTCATTTGGCCTTCTGGCAAATCAGTGTAGCTTCAATTTGTTTTTCTGGCAACCCTGTTGTGGCGCGCGGTGTATCCGATTGGTTTCAATTTAATTTTAAACAAAAGCTCGGCGTTGTGTGGGGTGTGTGGGGTGGGGGTGTGGGGGTAGGGGTAGGGGTTGAGGACCCCCTGCAAGGATCGTGTGGTGTCGAGCTAATGCCAGGTTGTCCAACATGATTTGTCTGGCAATTTTCTGCTGGTTGGGGATCATGGCCAGGATTTTTGACGCACTTGACATGAACACTTGGAGAGCCAATAAGTCATTGATTGTAAAGGTTTGGTTCGCAATTCTTGTCGCCTTTGATGTAATCTGAATCTGCAGTCGTGTTAAGCGCCGTGAATGTCTGGTCAGCCTGACCTTAGGCTAGTTAACACTGAGGTCAGCTTGACCTTAGGTTGTTTAACACTGCGGTCAGCTTGACCTTAGGTTAGTTAAACGCTGAGGTCAGCTTGACCTAAGAATAGTTAAACACTACAATATCTGGTCATATTGACCGGCCAGCTAGTTTAGTTAAGGTCATCTTGACATGTAAACTATTTTACCACTAGGTTAAACTTGACCTCCGGCTAGTTTTACCCTGCATCCATCTTAACTTTCTGGCGGTTTAACACCAGGTTTATCTTATCAGGCTAGTTCAACACTAAGTTAAACTTGACCAATGTCTGGTCATCTTGACCAGCAGTCTAGTTGAACTAAGTTAAACTTGACCTCAGACTAGTCCAGCATTTATCTATCGCTAAGATCTCTTTGTTCTGTTAAGTGAGGAGTCTTTCATCAAATGATGTCCCACGTTTAACCACAGCTGTTTACAATCCAAAATATCGTATTGTTTTTACTGGAAACTGTTTAAGTTATTAACTTATCAAACTATTTTTTTATAAAAACTTGTGCGTATTGAACCAATATACACTAGTAATATCATTCTGTCATTCGTCGACTAGACTAGAATAATTATTTTTTTGCAACTCTTACTCTGCCCCGAGTGTACCCTGTCTACTTAACGTATTTCTACTTGCAGTATAAGCATATGCTCGTATTTGTTTCACTTACATCTAATGACAGTTTAAACATTCGTAGGCGTATTCGCACTAACGGTCGGTTGAAAACGTCGCTCACAATTCTACAACAGATTATAACTTTAATTCAACACAGCACAACCTCTTAACAAGTCGACCCCAATTTTAATCATGCTTCAGTTTGTAGAATACTTGTTTTTTGGAGAGATCTTAAATCAATTAGGGTGGTTTTGTTTAGTTTTGTAAGACGTTAGTGCAGTTCCTGAACGCTCCACAATGTAATAATCCCTGATTGGTGCCTAAAGTTTAGATTGACGGTTAATAAACACAGGAATACTTGGAGCTACTCTCTTGACCATTTCGTACCAGCATTATTTCCTGACAAATCTCCATGTTAATCACATCACCCGATAAAACTAACGCCATCATAAAATTAACCACACCTCCATTCCTTGAGAAACCTCACCTTAAATATACTTCAATGACAATAAAGTGACAAAACAGTGAAAACCTTACCACCCTCACCTCACCCTGATAAAACCTTGTTAGTCAGTGAACTATTACACAAGCGAACTATTAGTCAATCGTTAACAATTAATTAAGTAAAATATTAGTTCAGTGAAATATTTGTCAAGTTCGAGTGAACTAGTAGTCGAGTGAACTAGTAGTCGAGTGACCTAGTAGTCGAGTGACCTAGTAGTCGAGTGACCCAGTAGTCGAGTGACCTATGTAAGCAAACGACCAAAAGAAAAATTACCCAAGCAGGATATTAATCAGGGAAGGAGGTGATCAACTTAATTATTATTAGTTACGTTTTTAAGGCAAGCTCGCCTTTGTGACCACTCCATTCCTCCTATTTATAAGTAGAACTTGCAAATATGGCTAGAAGATTTTATTTCAATATAACTAATTCTACCTTAAGACCACATACTATATTTAACTACATTTATAACATACAACCCGCTATGTAAAACTAAGACTTCCTAGCTTCCTAGCAGAGTTTCTTCCAGGCATCTCTTCGGGGGGGGGGGGGGGAGGGCGAAAATTTTTTACCGCCCCCCGAACGAAATGAAATTTATATAATTTATATAGAAAATATATACTTTTAACAGTGTCCGCCCCCCCCCCCCCGAAGAAAGTCTACCGCCCCCCCCCCCCCCGAAAATTTCAAGTGCCCCCCCCCCCCCCCCCCCCCCGGAGAAAAAAGTGGAAGAAACAGTGCTTCCTAGGTTTCAAAAAAATGATTCACGGATCATCCATAAAATGACTTCAGTGGTTTTAAGACAAAGCTCTATGTTACAAAATCCCTTACGATTGTTTAACTGTAATTGGGCACAAGTCCTTTAAACAAATCCCCAACACTTCGCCACACTGTGTTTACCCACACTTCCAACTTGTAACCCAACTTGTATAATTAAGATTCCAAAAGTTTTCAAACAACGACGGCCCCTATCTGCACAAAACACTTCACATTACGTCCTACAAGCAGAGGAAGGGGTAGACAATTCAAACAACACGAACCATTAGCTGCTGTTTTAGCCAGCGGTTGTCTGCCGCTCGCCTCAAGCTGACACTAATGTTCCTCAAGTGCTCACATCATTGCTATCAGCCATCTCTCTCTCTTCTGGCTAGTGCAGGTTGATTTGAGGATTTCATATCAGTGGGTCTAGGTGAGATAGAATAGGTTATAAAGCTAAATAGAAATTATAAGTATTCGAAATGGTTGGATGGAGACAGTTTGAGTGGAGTGACCTAGAATCTATGAAAAACGTACAGGTCATGTTAATTGTTATGAGGTGGGGGTGGTATTTTTAAAACCATTGCAGAAAACCCCCTTCCTCTCCCCCCCCCCCCCTTCCTCTCCTGTCAAACTGGCAGCTCCTATGCGTGACATCCTCACTATATAACCTTCCCCCCCATTACCCCTCCCAACTCCACCCCCCCCCACACCCCACCCCACCCCCGATCGTCGCCTCACATTTGAAATAAGTACCTGACAGCCTCACCACATAGTCTCTTCCCCCTCCACCCCGTCCCCTCTGTGAGTCAAACTTAACAAGTTATATACGCACGTGACACCTTCACTCTCTGACCTGTTACCCCCCTCTCCCCCCTCCCCCCCCCCTTCCCACCCTCTCAACTTCAAATTTATTTTTTACAGGAAATATTTTTTTAAGATTTTATCTTTCAAAAATGTAGCTACGTTTTTAAAAAAATGTATCATTTATTAGTTATTATTTTTTTGTAGGTTTCGCTTCCCTAAAATCCGAAAATACGATCTTCAGTTCGTGTTTTTATAAATTTTAAAAAAAACTTAGTACAGTTATATTTACACAGATTTCAACTGTTTTATGGCAATGTGCCATATTTACAAACATTAAAGAGATTCCCCTGTGATTTGAGCATCCACTTAGTTTTAAAGTGCCGTATGAAAGTGAATGCTCAAGTTTTTATTTTAGACACACAAAAAAAAAACGTATGTAAGTTCATATCATACAGAGGTTCTGATGTTTCTTTGAGGGGATCTCAAATCCCAATAATGAGAGGGGTTTAGCTTTATATAAGGATTCCTCCGACCTTCCTTCTAGAGCATGTCCGTCGAATAAAATGAATTTCGAATATTTTCTCTAGGCATTATAGCTGATGCTGAATGTTACATGGTATTTGCATCTCACTATAATCAGCAACACTTTGAACATATTATTTTGTTTTAATTGCTAGTTTATACTAACTCATAATGCGTTAATAGCTTGAACTTGCGGAGAAATAAATAATATCATAGACTACACCTACATATTTTGCGATCAAATGATCATTTTATGTTGAACTTTATTCCAGGGCTACTTTTATTATAAATGGATTCTATCTTTTTGATAGTTTAAAGTGAACTTTTCAAATGTTTACATTTTAACATTCTACTTTGTTTTTTTATATTCTCAGTTGATGCGGGTATTCACAATGTTCCAGTATGTTAGACGTGGTTGAAAGTTCAACTATACAATCCTGTCTCATTGACTTGATTTAACTTTATAAGACAATTACATGCGGGTTGTTGCTGAAACTTTTATTATAGAATAAACAAAGTTTAGACTGTTTTTAAAAGTTCCATGAACTTAAAAAAAATATTGTGATAAAAAAACTAAAGTGGTGAAGGATGGATTAGAACTCGGGTCGCTGTGCTAACAGACACCACCCAGCCCACACTGTCGAGCCACCTCCCTCGGTCATGTGCACGGCCAGGCACCTCAAGTCACGTGATACACAGGTGGCCCCATGTCTCACTTCTACTCCAAGTTCGTGTTCTCGATAAACGCCACCACCAAAATAGCCACCATCCCCAGCGCCAGCAGCACCACCACCACCATCACAGCCACCCCCATCGCGGTAGTAGCCGGCGTCCTAAGTGACTCCATGCGCAGGGAGGCGATGGACGTGGTCGTCGCTAAGATCATCTGCCTGCTCATCCTGACCATCCTCTCCGTGCTGTCCGGCCTGCTACCCCTCAGGCTGCTCATACACACCCCACACCTCTTCACCAGGGGCAGGAACTCGGTCGATTACTTCCTCTGTGGGTTGCGGCTCTTCTCTGGAGGTAAGGGAACTAGGAGCACACGCTGGGTTACCTCAGCACAAACTTACTTCATTCAACCATTCAATTCAATGTTCACGACTCAACTCACTTCATTCAACCATGCAATTCAATGTTCACGAATCAACTCACTTCATTCAACCATTCAATTCAATGTTCATTGAGATAAACCAATTCAACAGCTAATTATCTAGATAAACCCATTCAATTCGACTATTTATCTAGTTCAACTAATTAAATTAACTACTTACATACTTACACTTATTTAATTCATTTATTAGGCTTAGTGGTTAAACATTTTTGATTTAGTAAGCTAAACCCATTCAACTCACTAATTAAGCTCAATTATAACGAAAATACAAATTAGAATAAACCAAAACAATGCTTGCTAGTAATTGTTAACGAATAGTATTAGCAATTTTACATTACATACATCATCATCATATATTTTTCAGATACAAATATCAGTTGCGTCATCATTCTTGTTCTTTTTAATACCTTTGCAATTGTGCAATATTTAAATAGCGAAATATCACACACTAATACACTTTATATATATATATATATATATATATATATATATATATATATATATATATATATATATATATATAACACGATTCTTCTGTGTATCCACTAGAGCAATTCAAATAATAATTCAACTCTCTCCAACACAAACACAAGGCCGTATATTAGTTAACTACCTGAATCAAATGTAATTACTTTGATTCCATCCGACGTTTAATGAGCTCATTCAATCTGCAATGAATGTCTGCCCAGGTGATTAACGACGTTTCAAAGCCATCCCATAAACTATTACGTTAATTAGCGCCCCCTCCCCCGCCCATAATATTCCATCATATTAAAACTTGTTTTAATTTCTAAAGAAACAGCCGGAGGCTGAAATGAATTTTGTGTGTGTTTATATTCAAAGTAATTACCTCTGGGAAAGACAACAGTAAAATAAAAATTAGCTGAGTTACACATACACTAATTAGTCGTATAGATTTAATTGGATTTTAAACTTAAGAGAACGCCGGTATGTGTTTAAAGATTTACAGTTTGTGATGTTAAACGCCCTTAGCAGAATGCACTTTTCTTTAAGGAGAAGTTTAGACAAATATTGGCCGTAGGTTAGCGTAGGAAACAAAGAGTAGTATAAGTTATTTAGAAAACAAATGTTAGCTTAGGTTTTTCAGAAGGTAAATGGTACTTTGGGGTATTTAGAAAACAAATGGTAGTTGGAGGTATTTAGGAAACAATGGTAGTTAATAAACAGATGGTACATTCTTGTATTTAGAAAACAATTGATAGTTTGGGGCACTTACAAAACAAATGGTAGACTCATGTATTTAGAAAACATTTGATAGTTTGGGGCACTTACAAAACAAATGGTAGACTCATGTATTGTTAGAAAACAAATGATAGTTTGAGGTATTTAGAAAGGAAAGTTCAGTTTGAGAATGACAACGAAACTTTTAACTTAGTCACGAAACGCACTTTAAAAAAGTTTTGTAAAAAATAAGATTCAGGGGCAAACAAGTGTGACGGCGTTAGGGTGTGGGGGAAAGGGCATCAAGTAGACGCAGGGGGGAGGGGGTTGATGAATGGACATGAAAATTAAAACTCACGTCTGCGAACAAACTGTTTCCCGCCAACTGACAGCCAATTATAAACACAAACATTTCCAGGTGAGAGTTTAACGAGACAGGTAGAACTGACGGGGATTCTCGACTGCCAGTTGGGGGCAGTAACCCCCCCCCCACACCCCCCGCCAACCCCACCCCAGTCCGTCTCCCGTCCCCCACAAACAGGAATATAAACACTGACACGCGGCAAAGTTCGTTACAGCGCTGTCATTTTAATTTACATTTAAGGGGGAGATAAAAATAAAAACTGTAATAAAATAAAGGGAGACAAATCACTTAAGCTAAGGGAAGGAATCTTTACAAAAAATATTTAGGGGAAGGAATGTTTACAATAAAATAATGGGAGAAAAATCACTTAAACCCGAGAGAAGTATAAACAAATTTAGGGTTAAGACTCTTAACTAAAGATTTCCTTGTAGCGCATGAGGAAGAGGCAGTAGAGTACGTATGTTTTAATAAAGGAATGCTTTTAACTGTTAACAACTTTCTCTTCCTAGCCTAACTGGTATATGCTCAATATGTTAGGCTCCAATTGAGGTCAGATGACTCCGTGGGAAATAAATCATCTCCAGCGTAAATTAATGACTTATCGAGAACTTGATTAGAATAGAAGGGGTTGATGAAACAGCACGTCTCTCGTGGAATGTTTTAGCCCTAGTAAAGTTGTTCTTTGTAAACGTTGCGTAGTACGCCATTTGTACCCACTCCCAAAATAGTCCAGACAAGGTTCCAAGCCTATGTCAGAGGAGATATCAGGTGTGGTCTTAAGGTCAACATGGGTCAATCTCGCAGCAGGTATTTGAACCTGCGCCAGTCGGTGTTGTCAGAGAATAATAACAAGACGTGTTAACACACCTCAGGTTATACCCTACACCCCACACATACACCTCACACCCCCAATACACAGCCTCTGACATTTGTAGTCCTATCCGTTTGTTTTCTCAGAGCGCCGCTAACAACGTTAGAGTAACGCTTCCACCAAAGGCCTCAACACTAAGTTTTTTCGGTTTGTGTCCCCAGGAATTTATCTGGCAACTTGCTTCCTCCACCTGATTTAAGGTTGTTGTTTTTTGGTTTGGTCCCCAGGAATTTATCTGGCAACTTGCTTCCTCCACCTGATTTAAGGTTGTTGTTTTTTGGTTTGGTCCCCAGGAATTTATCTGGCAACTTGCTTCCTCCACCTGATTTAAGGTTGTTGTTTTTTGGTTTGGTCCCCAGGAATTTATCTGGCAACTTGCTTCCTCCACCTGATTTAAGGTTGTTGTTTTTTGGTTTGTGTCCCCAGGAATTTATCTGGCACATGCTTCCTTCACCTGATTTAAGGTTGTTGTTTTTTTGGTTTGGTCCCCAGGAATTTATCTGGCAACATGCTTCCTCCACCTGATTTAATGTTTTTTGGTTTGGTCCCCAGGAATTTATCTGGCAACTTGCTTCCTCCACCTGATTTAAGGTTGTTGTTTTTTGGTTTGTGTCCCCAGGAATTTATCTGGCACATGCTTCCTTCACCTGATTTAAGGTTGTTGTTTTTTTGGTTTGGTCCCCAGGAATTTATCTGGCAACATGCTTCCTCCACCTGATTTAATGTTTTTTGGTTTGGTCCCCAGGAATTTATCTGGCAACTTGCTTCCTCCACCTGATTTAAGGTTGTTGTTTTTTGGTTTGTGTCCCCAGGAATTTATCTGGCACATGCTTCCTTCACCTGATTTAAGGTTGTTGTTTTTTTGGTTTGGTCCCCAGGAATTTATCTGGCAACATGCTTCCTCCACCTGATTTAATGTTTTTTGGTTTGGTCCCCAGGAATTTATCTGGCAACTTGCTTCCTCCACCTGATTTAAGGTTGTTGTTTTTTGGTTTGTGTCCCCAGGAATTTATCTGGCACATGCTTCCTTCACCTGATTTAAGGTTGTTGTTTTTTTGGTTTGGTCCCCAGGAATTTATCTGGCAACATGCTTCCTCCACCTGATTTAATGTTTTTTGGTTTGGTCCCCAGGAATTTATCTGGCAACTTGCTTCCTCCACCTGATTTAAGGTTGTTGTTTTTTGGTTTGTGTCCCCAGGAATTTATCTGGCACATGCTTCCTTCACCTGATTTAAGGTTGTTGTTTTTTGGTTTGTGTCCCCAGGAATTTATCTGGCAACATGCTTCCTCCACCTGATTTAATGTTTTTTGGTTTGGTCCCCAGGAATTTATCTGGCAACATGCTTCCTTCACCTGATTTAAGGTTGTTGTTTTTTGGTTTGTGTCCCCAGGAATTTATCTGGCACATGCTTCCTTCACCTGATTTAAGGTTGTTGTTTTTTGGTTTGTGTCCCCAGGAATTTATCTGGCACATGCTTCCTTCACCTGATTTAAGGTTGTTGTTTTTTTGGTTTGTGTCCCCAGGAATTTATCTGGCAACATGCTTCCTCCACCTGATTTAATGTTTTTTGGTTTGGTCCCCAGGAATTTATCTGGCAACATGCTTCCTTCACCTGATTTAAGGTTGTTGTTTTTTGGTTTGTGTCCCCAGGAATTTATCTGGCACATGCTTCCTTCACCTGATTTAAGGTTGTTGTTTTTTTGGTTTGGTCCCCAGGAATTTATCTGGCAACTTGCTTCCTCCACCTGATGCCCGACACGCGGATCAAGATGGACGCCGTCATGAAGAACATGGGCTCCATGACGACCTACGCGGTGCCAGAGCTTCTGGTCATGTCAGGGTTCTACGCCGTGGTCTTTGTGGAGCAGATCATTCAGGTCAGTACTGACTGGTGTCCTGACTAAATTTAGTGTCAGGCTTTTTTGTGTTTCTTCTACATGAACAACTTGTAGCCTATATAGATCAGGTCAGTATTGACTGGTGTCCTGACTATATATAGTGTCAGACTTTTTTGTGTTTCTTCTATATGTCTAACAACCTGTACATAGATCAGGTCAGTATTGACTTGTATCCTGACTCTAAAGTCAGCCTTTTTGTATTTCTTCTACCCATCTAACAGCATGTATATAGATCTAGTACAAGTGATGACTTGTTATTATTTTAAAAAAAAACGATACAGTTTTTGTATTAGGTATCTTTTTATTTTATTTTTATTAAAAAACAAATAATATATTTAAATAATATTTTGTATTGTTTTAAAAGCTGTGACTGCAAAAATATAACATAGTTTGGTATAAAAGTATTTTTAAAACTATTTCTACTTATAGCACATCTATTATAAATGTGAAGTATATTTTAAAACTAATAATTACAACGCTAATGAATATTCTAAAAAATCAGTTTTAAAAAAAAATTCGCTATAATTTTAATTCGACTTTTACTCTCATTTTATCTTTACGAATGAGGCGGTAAAACTTTCACGTCATTAAATTAAGCAATCAGCAATTATAGACGTCCGAATTTGATATTTTATGGCCAGTTGGCCGGAGACGTTAAGACCAGGACGTTGATAGATAAAAGTCAGGGGTAGACCAGGACTAGATTAAACATTTTTATTTATCGTAAAATTTACCCTTTTTTTTTCTCTTAATTCTAGATACTGTTAATCACGAGGTGATACACAATTTTACGATAATTTTACAGGGAAATGAAAGTGTCCAGAATTCAGGCAGAATTTAATTGATTTAAAAAAATTCTTCTTAAATATCGTCTCTTATCTTTGGATTTAAGTAAATCTAGTGAAGATCAACCACGACTTCTTGAAGCTCCCCATTTATTTTTATCTCAGCGTAAATTAAAGACAGGTTTCACCTGTCGCCTTCCATTCACAGGTAACAGGTAGATTATTTGTTGATCAGCTCATTAAAAGGCTCGATATAACCCACAATGAAACCTGAAATTATTTACCAGCGGTTACCTTTTTTTTTCATTACTTGATCTTCTACGGCAGATAATTCCGACTTCTTTTTAGAGTTACCCCGAAGTTTAAGCAAAATGTAAACAAACAATTCTAAAAACTTGGCTCGGAACTACGCTAGGGTAAATGACGTGGGTTTTACGTTTTGTCGTGGTTAAGCTTTAAAAAAATGAATATTTTTTTTTGTGGGGGAACTGTTTTAGTTGAAGGGCTGATCGTATTGCGATGGTAGTCTAGTATCAGTGTTTTTACTGGGGTTTGATCATAGCGGGGCCGTAGTTTATTCAAGGCCGTAGTTTAGACCAGGGCCATAGTTTAGACCCGGGCCATAGTTTAGATCAGGGCCATAGTTTAGACCAGGGCCATAGTTTAGACTATCAGGGCCATAGTTTAGACCAGGGCCATAGTTTAGACCAGGGCAATAGTATAGACCAGGGCCATAGTTTAGACCAGGGCCATAGTATAGACCAGGGCCATAGCTTAGACCAGGGCCATAGTTTAGACCGGGGCCATATTTTAGACCAGGGCCATAGTATAGACCAGGGCCATAGTTTAGACCAGGGCCATAGTTTAGACCAGGGCCATAGTTTAGACCAGGGCCATAGTTTAGACCAGGGCCATAGTTTAGACCAGGGCCATAGTATAGACCAGGGCCATAGTATAGACCAGGGCCATAGTATAGAACAGGGCCATAGTTTAGACCATACCATAGCTTAGACCAGGGCCATAGTTTAGACCAGGGCCATAGTTTAGACCAGGGCCATAGTTTAGACCAGGGCCATAGTTTAGACCAGGGCCATAGTATAGACCAGGGCCATAGTATAGACCAGGGCCATAGTATAGAACAGGGCCATAGTTTAGACCAGGGCCATAGTATAGACCAGGGCCATAGTATAGACCAGGGCCATAGTTTAGACCAGGGCCATAGTTTAGACCAGGGCCATAGTATAGACCAGGGCCATAGTATAGACCAGGGCCATAGTAAAGAACAGGGCCATAGTTTAGACCAGGGCCATAGTATAGACCAGGGCCATAGTATAGACCAGGGCCATAGTAAAGAACAGGGCCATAGTTTAGACCAGGGCCATAGTATAGACCAGGGCCATAGTTTAGACCAGGGCCATAGTTTGGACCAAGGCAATACAATGTACCAGGGCCATAGTTTAGACCAGGGCCATAGTATAGACCAGGGCCATAGTATAGACCAGGGCCATAGTATAGACCAGGGCCATAGTATAGAACAGGGCCATAGTTTAGACCAGGGCCATAGTATAGACCAGGGCCATAGTATAGACCAGGGCCATAGTTTAGAACAGGGCCATAGTTTAGACCAGGGCCATAGTATAGACCAGGGCCATAGTATAGACCAGGGCCATAGTAAAGAACAGGGCCATAGTTTAGACCAGGGCCATAGTATAGACCAGGGCCATAGTTTAGACCAGGGCCATAGTTTGGACCAAGGCAATACAATGTACCAGGGCCATAGTTTAGACCAGGGCCAGAGTTTAGACCAGGGCCATAGTTTAGACCGGGCCATAGTTTAGACCAGGGGACGTAGTTTAATTTAGGACCGTATTTTAGACTATCAGGGCCTAAGTTTGTATCATGATGATTACCTATAGCCCACAGGCCCGGCTTTAAAACCCGTTTGAACACATTGGCCTAACTCAATCATTATGATTCATGTTACGGTTATTACAAGAATAGCTAAAACATTTGGAAATAAAATTAAATCTTAAATTTTGTGTTGCAACGTTTTAACACTAAACGTCCATTACAATTATCTTGTTGAAACTATTGTTTCGCTAATGAACAACGCCAAAAAATGGCTCTCTTAATCGATCGTTCCTGGCTATAAATTATTTTCTTCGAATATAATAATTTAAAAATAACCAGCGCAATCGATTGGTTGCAAAGTTTTGATGGAAACCACATGACCAGGTAATAAACCAATCATAGCCAAGCACGTGACCGGATCGTTGCCAGGTAAACTTGAAGTGTTGGCCATACAAGCCATATCCAGCTGTGCCATACAAGCCATATCCAGGTGTGTTGGCCATACAAGCCATATCTAGGTGTGTTGGCCATACAAGCCATATCCAGGTGTGTTGGCCATACAAGCCATATCCAGGTGTGTTGGCCATACAAGCCATATCTAGGTGTGTTGGCCATACAAGCCATATCCAGGTGTGTTGGCCATACAAGCCATATCCATGTGTGTTGGCCATACAAGCCATATCCAGGTGTGTTGGCCATACAAGCCATATCCAGGTGTGTTGGCCATACAAGCCATATCCATGTGTGTTGGCCATACAAGCCATATCTAGGTGTGTTGGCCATACAAGCGATATCCAGGTGTGTTGGCGATACAAGCCATATCTAGGTGTGTTGGCCATACAAGCCATATCCAGGTGTGTTGGCCATACAAGCCATATCTAGGTGTGTTGGCCATACAAGCCATATCTATGTGTGTTGGCCATACAAGCCATATCCAGGTGTGTTGGCCATACAAGCCATATCTAGGTGTGTTGGCCATACAAGCCATATCCAGGTGTGTTGGCCATACAAGCCATATCTAGGTGTGTTGGCCATACAAGCCATATAAGCTCCAATCTTGTGGCCATATCCATGGTGCGTTAGCCGATAACGATAATCCATTTAAACATTACTCTAGTCTATTAGTTCATATACAATCACCCATAACCTAAACTTATATATGAAGCCTATCCTGTACAAAGTCCTTTATTGTTTGTTTGTTTTTTTTTGGGGGGGGGGTGTTGCGCTTTAATATTGAAAATCTGTATAAAAATAATTCACTAACACTACGATACTCAGGCAGTGATTTTGTCACAATGAAAAGTACATAATCACAATTATCTTCTCCCTGCAATGTTTAATAGCACAAGGCAGAAGATTACACTACGGTGAATTGAGTAAATTGCTAATGAAAATCTTGGCATTTGCCCCCACCCACCGTACGGCGGTCTGTGACGTGTTGTCACCGTGACGTCACTGCTCCTGAGACCAGGGTCCTGACACGGTTGTAAGACAAAGTACAGGACATGCTATACCACAAGGTCCTGACACGGTTGTAGGACAAACTACAGGACATGCTATACCACAAGGTCCTGGGTCGAACAGGCATTGCACAATGCTCCACGCTGTTGTATATAATCTGTTATTTTATTGTACGAGGTTGGCAATCATAATTACAATAGTTATAGGTTATTATTTTGATTACCCCAATTATAAATATATACATATATATGTACATATATATATATGTATATATATATATATATATATATATATATATATATATATATATATATATATATATATATATATATATAATTTATTTATTTATTTATATGCACACACTAAATTGTGTGTCCGTTTGTATGTGTGTATGTATGTATATATGTGGTGTAGCGACAGAGAGATATTTGGTTTTAAAACCGAGATGAGCAACTGCGTTCAAGAAAGAGATCCGTGCTTTATCTCCCTTTTTTTCCTTACCTCCCTTGTGTGGAGACCCCGAGATTGCCTTTATCACCAGGTCCTTGAGCCTATCGAGACGGACAGATGGGAGCTTCGAGGGTCCGGCAATGACGCCCAGCGTTCCTAAGCAATTTTATCTTCCCTTGTTACACGGGTCCCTTTCTTGGGGGGGGGGGGGGCTGCAGTCTTGGAAGTGTAAATCTACACGCCCCCCCCCCCCTTTGGTGAGGCTGTATTCTTGAGGTGTAAATCTACACGGGTCCCTTTCTGTGATGACGCAGTCTTTGGGGTGTGTAAATCTACACGCCGCCCTTCCCCCTCTTTGGGCGTTTCTGCAGTCTTGGGGGTGTTAATCACGTAACCCTTATGTGGGGCGATATATGATAACAACAATGAACT